TCTGAAGACTCTATCACATTCTAGCGTACTCTGTTTAGTAGTACCTCAGTTTTGTTGATTTATACCAAAAAAAAAAAGTGAAACATATGACAGCCGTCACTATTTTATTGTCCCAAAAACTTGGTTTGTTGATACATACTGTGTACAGTATATGTTAAACATGCTTTAGGCAGCCTTTCTTTATTTCATCATCCTAAAAAACACCGGTTTTGTTGATATATATATATATACTGTATATGTTAAACCCATTTTATATGGCAGCTGTTAATTATTTCATCATAGTGTAAAAGAGAAATTTATGTTAATTATGTTATAATATAAATATATGTTGAAAATTAAAGAGGTATTAACCTTAACCTTGATTATATTTATTTAATTAATAAAATAATTTCATGTAATAAATTCTACAAGTGCTTTATAAGGTCACCTAAGTAAACTCAGGTGACCTATTGCTATTCGTTTTCATTCGCCCTCATGCGTGGTTCCTCAAGTGTTAACATTTAAACATTTCAGCTTCTTCTCTGCAACAGCTCAACCAATTTCAACAGATTTTGGCAATAAGTATCTATGGGTGAAGGGGAACAAAAATTATGGATTTCATGGTCTATGGGGCCTGGGGGTTGGGCCAAATCCACTAACTTTAGTGCAATATTTAAAACTCTTCTTTTTTACTCCTGGACATAAAGCATTCAAACTGTTGGTTTGATTGTAATCAGCATTGTGTCCTCTAGCAAAATTGTGAAATTCATGGCCGCATGGTCAGGGGTTGTAGTGCTAAGGTAGGGCTATTTATATTATGTAGTGAAAAGGCACTATAATTTCTTTGAAAATCTTCTTCTCTGCTCCTGAGTATTAAATAATAATGAGCAAGTTATGATGAGCAAGGGTGCCTCTACCAATAATGTTAATTTTTTGGCCCCATGGTCATGGGTTGTGGTGTAAGGTCGGGACTCTATTGATATTATATTGAAAATGCATTAATTCCTTGAAAATCTTTTTCTTTGGTCCATGTACATGTACATAGTTATGATGAACAAGAGTGCCTCTTTCAAAATTGTGAATTTTATGGCCCCAGGGTCAAGGGTTCTGGTGTTAAGATGGAGCTGTATTGATTACATGTATATTGTGAAAATGATTATTTCTTTGAAAATCGTCTATTCTGTTCCTGGGTATTAAATAAACTAACTAAAAACATAGTTATGATGAGCAATAATGCTTCTACCAAATTTTTGATTTATGTTCCCATTGTCAGGGGTTCTGATGTTAGGATGTGGCTCTTATGACTATAAAGTGAAAATACATTATATTTATGAAAATCTTTTCCTCTGTTCCTGAGTAATAAGGAGATGAACTACCTATATTGTTCCGATGTGCAAGGAATCATCTTCCAGAATTGTGAAATTCAAGACCCCTGGATCAGGGATACCAAGAAGGGGGGGGGGTGCTCTACTTATATACTGAAAATGTATTGTTTGAAATCTGCTCCTTGGTTTTAAACAAACATCTTTAATAAGCAAGTCTGCCTTTTCAAACATTGTGCAATGTGTAGACCTAGGGTCAGGGGTTCATGTGTGGTAGTGGCACTTTTGATTATTGCTGAATATCACTGAGAAGTTGAAATGCAATGTTTTATTCCCTTACCCTGTGTATGGGTATTAAGTAACCAAATTAAGCAATTGCTAACTGTACATGTGTATAGTTATGGTTAGCAATAGTGCCTCTTTCAAAATTGTGAATGCCATAGCATCTAGCCTAAAAGTTGCACCAAATTCAATCAATTGAACGTTGTTGCATAATGCTTAGGTAACCTATAAGGCCCATAAGACTTTTTGTTTTGTTTTGTTTGTTTTTATTTTGTTAACATAGTGCTAAGAATTTTGTTTTGTTTGTAAATATATCCTTATTTACATATATGTAAATAAGGATATATTTCTGTGATATTACAGTTTTATTTAAGGACGTTCGATCCTGATATTTTGAGCGTATTTTGCGCAGGTCCTTTATTCATAAAATTAAGCATCATTTTAGGTTCTAACAATAAAATTAAATTCTACAATGCAAATTAAAGTATATTCAATGAAAAAACCTCGATTAAATTCTATTCAAGTAGAATTAAACTAGGGACTATATTTTGTGGTGGAAGGTTTTTTAGACGAAAATGGTCAGTTTTTTTTTTCCATTTGAACTTTACTCGTACTGTTAGCTGGTTCTGAAATATCTATTAAATTATTTCTCATGAATTCTATCAACAAAGTGTGACAATAATATTAATAAATGTGAAAATCCTGGAAAAAATTGAGCCAATTTTAACGTAAAATTCACAATTTTTTGGTAATATCTGAAAATGTACATCATATACCCTACTTTTGATGTTCTTTTCTAAATATTCAAGATAACTTTGACCTATTTGCTTAAATTCAGAAAAAGTTTAAGACTTTAAAATAATTTTCTTGCTTATTATATTTTCAATGCCGGAAAAATAACATTAGTGCAGAAAGGTCAAATAATTGATTATGCGAAGCAATTTGAAACTTTTTCTTAGTCACAATTTTTAAGTGTCTTTTTTTAAACAGACTTAGAATTCATTTTGTTTTATGCTGTAATCGAATAAAAATATTGGATGGAAAACGTCGAAGATGTAATTTTTAATTAAGACACAAATTTCAGTGCAGAAAGGTCAAATTAAATGTACTGTAGCGCTAAATGAAGCATATTGACCCCCATATTTTGATTTGAATTTTAATTAAGCTATGTATGTAGATACTAAAAATATACTTGGCAAAAAAAGTTTAAGACTTTAAATATCAGGATCGAACATCGTTAAAAAAAACCGCCCATTACTCCTACAGTTTCAGTCTAATTTCTGAAATTTACATTTGAAATTTTGAATGAAAGAAGAGAGACAAAGATAAAGGATTCTTTTTTATTTTTCATTTCAATGAACAACAGAAAAAATTACAGATATTCTGAATTGATCACCTTCCGGCCTTAAACATGAATTATTCTTGTGTGAATCTTAGCTATCTGTATGTCGCATTGATATGTCAGCAATGAGGGGAATGCATTCAAAGACCTGTATTGCATTTATATGTATCCGGATAACCATTCATGTAAGATATTGTAAATGTATTATATTTAGAAAGTACGATATTTGGATACTAGTATATGAATCTTCAAAAATCAAATTCATTTCTTATATAACACAATTAGCCAATGTGTTTGGATTAAAAAGACTTCTGTAAGTTCATAGTTTTATTATAAGTCACAGCAAAGGTATCAAACAATCAATGATACATGAAGAGTTCAATTATAAAGATCTCGGAGCCAAGATGGTGAAAGCTCACATAGTCATTGTGTCAGATAGGGCCCAGAGCTAAGTTCGTAAAAGCTCTCATGGTCCGTCTCGGAGCTAAGATGTTAAAAGCTTTCATAGTCCATCTCGGAGCTAGGATGGTAAAAGCTATTGATACTCAGTGGCGCATCTTTTGTACAAGCAGCTGCATCATAGGGTTCACATATTTGGTAATAGCAATTAGTTAGTTAGAGTGTCACTTCATTAATATTAACATTGTCCACCCCTCACTGAAGCTCTGTCTCCCATCTCCTTATAGGATACAGCAATGTCCTCTGTTTACATTATTTAACATTCTCCAGTTAATTAGATGGCTGCAGCTCTGCACAGAGTGTGATTGGAAATGTCAATGCTCGAGAACAACACATCGTAAAACTAATTGTCCGTCAAATGAAGACGCTCTGTTATTGTATTCTATCTCCCAGAGTTTGTAAACAAGTTTGTAATTAAAATATTATTGTCCGTCGCTCTACGCACTAATAGTATCAATTAAAATTCATAACACAATATTAAAACATAGATAAATGTACTGTATAAATTAATATATCAATTAAACTTATAATGTATATGCTCATTGTGTTACACTTACATGTATATTTACATTATTCTTTTGATGACTTGCCATGAATTTATGCAATTCAACTGTTATTGTTAAAGTAGAATAGAGTAGACTATATGTTTTTTATATCAAGTGCAGTTCTAAGATGTAACAATAGAGATATTCATGCTTATTCCTGGTGAATATGTAATGTAGTTCATGAGAAAATGAAATGCATTTTATTTTGTAAAGATTCATAGGGGAAATTTATTCGAAATGTAAATATTAACGTCGTACTTGATTTAGCGGTTTCTGCATTCCGCCAAAGCCGTTAAAAAGAATATATACAGCCAAATTTAATACGTTTACAGTATATGCTTACAAAAGATAAATAGTTTTCCAATATACATTAAAAAAACAAGATGTGCTAGTGAAACATTGATGCCACAGTATGGCAACTTATGGCAAACTTCAAGGTTGAAAATTCCTAAATGAAATTCAAATGTAAAATACGGTTAAAATTGTTTCTTATCAAGAGGATGGTCTCTTCTCAAAGAAAAAAACCTATTCAATAAGAGAGCCTCTAAATTAATACTACATGTAACTATTCAGAAGTTATGGTCATGTTAAAGTTTTTACAAAGTCGTTCCAACTCAAAGGTCAAGGTTAAAAGGTCAAAAATATTTAAACTAATTGAAAAGTCTTCTTCACAATTATTAGTAACTAATTATGTAATGGTAATGAACGGGATTTCATTTACCTGAAGACAATATAATACACATTTAGTAATAAGTGTTTCCTTGGTCTAAGTACTTGGTCCATGCATCTCTATAATAAGATAAATACTTTAGTGAAGTAAGTTATAAAGTTGTATATATACAGTGGACCGTCAGATATCCGGACGCCAGATATCCGGATGCTTCAGTATCCGGACGATTTTTCATCGGAACAAAATTTTAAAATGTTATTCTGTTTTGTTTAACTGGTGATTCGGATATCCGGATGCTTCACAAATACGGACAAATTGACTGGGAACCAAAGCGTCCGGATAAATGAGGGTCCACTGTACATGTTAATCATAAAGAAACAATGTATTTCATTTGAAAATGAAACAAAAAAAGATAACAGATTTCATCTCAAAAAGTACACGTATTTTGCCTTTCAATTGTCGTCCATGAATTTCTTGATTGTCTCCCAAAACATTCTCTGCCCTGTTTTATTTTCCGTCCACTCGACATGAGGTATAGACTTGAGGAGCACTTTCAGGGATCTGTTGATGTGTTCGGAGTGTATATCCTCCAGTAACACTAGAAAAAGCTTATGACCGTCCCCGTCTGCCAGAGTGTGACTTGCCATAGCTGTCTCATACTTACACCACTGATCATCCATAAAATTATTGGAGAGAACCAACATTAACTTCCTGCTCGTGTCGATACTTTCGAGGATGTTCTCCACATAAACTCCCCCTGGAATGATATCTCTTTCGTGTAGACAGAGTTTATATATGTGGTTTCTTTCGAGCATTCGAACCAGTTCCGACATGATCCATTTTCTGTCGTTTGTGTTGTAGGCAATAAAAGCATCATATAAAAATTTTTCATCATTGGTAAATCTTTTGTATCCCAATGGTTTTCTGTTTTTGCAGATGTATATATAATATTTGATATCCCAGCGAAATTTTCTTAAGAGAACAGTAGTGAAGATCACAACTGACAAAAGTCCACAGGAAGTAAAGGATAGAATGATATATGGGTTTATTTTGTGACACTCCGAAACTGGATCAAAGTTCGATAGGCTTTTCTCCTTTAACTCAGCTGGGGAATGACAAATATAGTTGTTTGGGTACCCAATCGCTCTGTTTTTGTTGTTTTCTATCCATACTCTGAACCACTCCAGCTGGCATCCACAGTCAAAGGGATTAAAGGATACATGAAGAAAGAAATCTTTCTTCTCCCAGAGAACGCGTGGCAAAAATGTTTTATTGATATTACTCAAAATATTGTTTTGAAGAACTAATGTATTGAAATGGGATAGATTTTGATAAACGTCTCCTTGGATTTCCTTAATTTTATTATAGCTGTAAAATGATGTATCTAAGGTTTGTAAAATCATTAAGAGGAGTCATCTGGCTTATTCCACCATTAATGATTGTCAAGGATATTAATTGTTTCAGAGGTTGCAGCACTTTCCTAAGATCAGTTTTAGAAAAATCGGTATTTTTTATTATCAAAACCTTTAGATTTGGACATGTTTCTAACATATATCTGAATTCCTTATGTTTTATATCCACAATTCGTTCGATGGACCGTGTTTGAAGAGATCGTGATCTTAACGCATCTTTCTGCAAAACAACTCCTCGTAGATTACCTATGATAAGAGTTTGTAGAAGGCACATAGCAGAAAACGAAAACATGGCGATTTTCGGCAAAGGATTCAGTGAAATATTTAGAAATGTAACTTGTTGGAGGCAGTGACCCTGGATATTAAAAAACGTTTGTACGCATCAAAACATTTTCTGCCATATACAGTTTTTTGAAGGTTTGGAAATGCTGGTGTCGTGGTGTCATTCAAACAGAATTGGGGGAGAGTTTCAAAGTAATTTTCTGTGAAATTCAGCTCTTCTAAAGTATCCATTTGAATAGATGGTTTGCAAAAATCAAATAGGAAGTTGCTTCCAAAATCTAATTTTCTGAGCTTTGATAATCTTTTAAAAGAGAAAAAAGCAAAATATCGTATACGACAGGATCGAACTACGATTTCTTCCAGCCCCATTAACCAAGATGTAAAGAATATTATATACAGAATAAACGGACGTATTCCAGTATGTAAATCAGTGTCAGACATATTTAGCACTTTCACATTTGATCTTCCGAGTTGTCGTACACCATTGTATATATCTATTAAATGTAACTCATTATAAGCTAAGTCGAGGCTAGCCAGGCTTTGTAAATCCTCAAAAGAATCTTCTGACATATTTCTTATTTGACAATGATCTATCATTAAGTTTGTTATATTCAAATGGTGGATAGGGTTGAATGTGTCGTACAATAGATATGATATATTATTTCCTGAAAATATTAAAGTGTTAATACTCCTCGGCAGTCCGTTTGGGATAACTTCAAGGTTTCTATTGGAACAATCCGCAGTAAGTCTGTCTGGACAAAAGCATACGCTACCAGGACAGAAATTCTCTTTTGCTTCTCCCTGAACGATGATCATAACGATAACCATCATTCGGAGGACGAAGGATTCCATTGTTCTCTCGAAAAAAAAGTAAGTAGAGAAATCAAATTTCAATTTTCAAGACTTTTGAATCCCTTATTTTTGTTTTTAAAAGAACTTTAATTTAATTTTCTTAAATATTTATTTGTGGGATTGTTTAAAACAAAAGATAAAGTCTAATTATTAAAGATTATAGAAAAAAAATATTTTAAAACTCATATTTCAATATTAAACAAACTTGTTAATACATATGTAGTAAGAAAGAATTAGCAGAGGTGGGGTTATCAAAAAGTCGTATGGCTAAAGCCATAGAATTAATGCTATGTACTATGCTCACACCTCCATGGCATCAGATCCCACCTCTGATGTTTTGGAAGTCCACGTTTCTTCTGCTTCTATTTTGTATTGTTTTTTACATTTCTGAGCTTCAATACTGTTCCCATTCTCTCTAAACATGTATTTCATGCTGCGCTTACAAAAGGTAACAGGAACATCAAACAACAGAAGTTAAAAAGATATTAAGTAATTAAACTTCAGCTTCAGCCCAAAATATCTAATCATTTTAACAAACATTCCTGATTAAGAGGCCGTGTCAGTAACCATTGAGTATTGTATATAAAGTGAGTGGAATGTGAAAAAAAATATTTTGCTTTAATATTTGGGTGCATGGAAGTATAGATGAATGTCCTTTCAAACATGAGTTATTTGGGTCACATCTTCCTTGTTACCATAGCAACGGTGATTTTAATGCTTGAAAAGTGTGAAATTTGATTATCGATAACCCTGTCAAAATTAATTACAGAATCAAACTATGTTTTTCTTAATTTCAATATATATGGGAGATTTAATTTTTCCCATGTTTATTTTAAAGCATTGGGGCCTACTTTGCTTTGTTTCTACCAAATGCTGTAAAATCAACATGATTTTTATAAATATTTTACACGAAAACGCAACCAAACTCTATCATAATCATACATGCAATAGAAACTACGAGCTTTGAAGTTATAAATCCAATAATAAAAAATGGTAGTTGGGTACTCTTTAGCAAATAATTTGATTTAGAATGTACCACAAATATGAAAACGCGTGAACGATTATCTCCCTTTTGTGGAACTCTCCTGCTGATAAAGAACAGAAAGTTGCTGTTGCAGCAGAAGTCGGAGAAGAAAAACACCATGTAAAGATGTATAAAGCAGGTCTTGTGCGGTTACAGAGGACATGACAGCATCAAGAATTTGTAGGTGACTGAAAAGTACTATATATAGTCCGAAATATCTGACGTTTTCCTGGCTTTTTAACTATTTCTATATTTTACGTGCGAGGAAAACGCCATAACCGGCGCCTTTACGAAAACTGGGAATTCCAAGCAGAGGCGGCATTCTCGGGTGTATTTTCGATACTTGCAATTACTTGTCAAACTCACAATTTATCAATAGTACAATGCCTCTAGTACTTACCAATATAGTTTTTATGGTTTGTTTGTAAATATATTATCCATGATCCGATGGAAACATTTTCTCTGACTGTCGAGATTTGTTTTCATTTCGTGCGTTTACAAATTAAAAATCAAAGTACTGAAAGTACTGGGAAGCGCTAAGCATTGTTCAACTAAACCCGCCTCTTGATCGCCTTGACTGCTACGTTAAATAAAACCGAGTGTAAGTTTTGTTACTTTAATAAAGTCTAAAAAATGAAAAAAAAAAAAAAAAAAGTGTTGCATTTTGGATCCAGGTTTCTGCGATAAAATTGAATTCATATCAATATTACAGTCCGATTTTTTTCTTCTGACTTACCTTATTTCAGATTAGGTATAAAACTCTGCATTAGCTGGAAAGTTTCTTTGTTGTTGTTTTCTTTGGGGGGGGGGGGGGGTGAAAAATTTTGAATACAAAAAAATGTTGCTGATATCCTTCTCTTGAATGTAAAGTAGAGAACACAAAACCTTTGAATGAAATTTTGAGCAATGTTTAATTCTACTCTCAAGAATATGAAGAATATTTTTCGTACTAAAATTCAAAATTGGCTGTCGGTGACTTTATTTGTTATCATCGGCCGCAGGGGTGATCTGTCTATTGTGTTTGAAAGTGTACAGGGAGAAATGAGTTATTATACAAATATGGACTCAATGTAGGTCAGTATGCGCCATTTATAATGACCCAGGATGACAGATATTGGCCTCAGATACATGGAGTATATCGACCTCGGGCTAGCGCCCTCGGTCGATATACTCCATGTATCTGAGGTCAATATCTGTCAGCCTGGGTCATTATAAATGCATATCGACCGTGCATTGAGTCCATATTTATTATATTATATAAATAATATTTTCCCAAATTTATTTATACAATGTATATCTTCCTAATGTTTACAGAGATAGTATTAACCATAAATAAGTTGAATGTAAATGTTTCAGAATATATTGAATGTTACTCAGAGGAACATGTTTCGGTAATAAATTTTAACCCAACGCAAGCTATTCTATCTCCGAATAACACAGAGTACCCCCTCCCCCAGATTGAGAATCACACTCGTTTGCACTTGCAGAGGAAATCATATGCACTGACAAAATATAAATATCTATGTCTTCTACGTTAAGATACAATATTATACATGGCACGCTCGTCTTTATTTTTTCTTTATTCTCCGTAATCGCGGAAACATCGTCAAAACTCTGCTCGCCGAGTGGAAAAGTCGAATTCAACCATGAAATGGTATGTTCTAAGTAATCCCGAAAAATGTTCATAGATATCCTTATAATTGTTTTGTATTCTGAATCTTAGTCTCAGAGTTATTCACTTACTATATCTTTTAAATTTTCCTCACCTACAACTTGCAAACTTCCGAACTTCCATGTTTGTTTAAAGCGAAAGTGAAAACGAGGCAGCTCGTGCAAGTCATTATTCGCTTTCAGCGGTCGTTATTAAAAAATAATTACTTCGTATTTACCAATCACATTACAGGATTTCACAAAGTTATATAATATTATTTTTTATTGTTCCATCTTTAATAATAAAATATATTAGGATTATGAATTAACGATTTTTAAAATGACATAATATTTTGTTTGAACTGTTTTTAGCATATTTTGATATTTAATCGTCTTCATAAATATTTATAAAGTTAAAATTTATATAAATAAGGTTTTACAAAATAAAAATTCCTAGCATAGGACCTTGTAATATATACACACAATCGTTATAAGACTTAGTTTCTGGGTATATAAATTATGAATTGAACTTTTAAATTTTGTTTTGAATATGCTACACTTGAATAATATGATAATAATATTTTTTCAATATTTCACATTTATTGTGATACCAATCCGGCCTCGTGCAGCATGTTGCTATCATCATGTAACAAAAATCCCCGAAGACTTTATAATTGTGGACACGCCCTCCCCCCTCGATATATTCAACCCCAGGGCTTGTTTAACATTTTTTTTTAACAAATTATATTTATTACACTTATTCATCATGTGTACAATATGAAGGGGGATTCCTGTCCACAAGTACCCGTAATCCTTCATCTCTGACTCTCTCACACATGAATTATAATTTATTTTTACCGAAATTTAAAAAAAAAAAGCTTTGCCATTCTGTTTCTCGTGCTATATTTGAAGCAGAATTTACAATATTTCTTTTTAAAATAAAAATATTAAATCACATACTCTTCTATTTAGAAAAAATATATCACATTGAAATTCGTTCGTATTTTTCTTGAACTCATTTTGGCGAAAATACTTTTTTAAAAATGCTGCAGTTTTTTAACACCCAATCGTTCAGTGAAATGGATTTTTTTTGCATCAAAATATTTTGTTACAGATAAAAACTACAAAACAAGTGTAGACTCTATATAAATGCGTTCAAGTTTGTACTGCTAAAAGGTAATTTGATTTTGTGAAATCATTATAATTGATTGCCCTATGTGTAATGCGGTTTGTTCCATCTCGCCTTAGCTGTAAAATTTAGCATTCACATTTCACCTTAGTAAGCTCTCAGGTGAAATAATGTAATGAAGATTGGATATATATTAGCATCAAGTATTTTTGGGTATTACATTTATCCTTTCATTCACTGTATTCATAAATTCCCATTAACTGTTAAATTCAATCTAAAAAATTT